ATATATATATATATATATATATATATATATATGGTTTATTTCATAATGTTTTTTGAAAGTCGTTTTGATTTGCTGCCCTGCGAGGTTTGCGGCGTCACCACAGTTCGCCCCACTTCTTGCTGTATTGACTGAGAGATTGGCATGGCTTGCAGTATTGACAGTGCAGATAAGATGGAAAAGGAATCACATTCTGTATTTGATGTGGACGTGCACCATAGGTAACCTTCTCACTGAATGACACTACGAGCTTAGATGGCAGGAAGATTTTCTGAGCTTGACTCTCTTTCTGACAGTTTCATTCAAAACCTTCAGCTCTAGATTCGAAAACAGTCACTGGATTGTTTTTTTTTTTTTTTTTTTTTTTTTTTATTAGAGGGGTGACAACTGCACGTCACAACAGCCACAACAAATCCAGCTGCAATTCCCAAAAATATTTTTTTGGTGTAAAAACAGCCCGGTGCATCGCCAAAATAACACCTATACCCACAGAGAGACATGGTGGTGGCAGAATCACTTTTGTCTGATGAAAGGATTTTTTTTGTTTTGTCTGGAGGAAATGAATCAGTTTCTGTCAAACACATTCAGGTGTTAGAGAGAAATGTACTTTTTTTATGAACACATTGAGTCCAAACATACATCCAAATCAACAAAAGAATAATTTCACCAGAAGTAAAGCAAAGTAGCTGAATCTAGAACTAAATTCAACAGAAAATGGTTTGGAGACTTGAAGAGACAAAAGTATCAAATAATCGACGTCTAAATCTAAATACCATGACTTTACCAAAAGTCAGATTTTCATACCAAGTTCCTTTGCCTGATGTTACACATCCTATGTTCAAAGTCAAAAAGATTTACACTGAATGGTCACATTTAAGATACAAAACAAAGCTGTCTGGATTAAAAAAAAAAAAAAAAACAGAACAAAAGCATGAATAAGGCTTGATAGACTGCAGTTTGTCTATAAGTCACAGATTGACGCTGCTCTGTTCATAAGATCAGAGACGTCTGTGCAGCGCAGCAGCAACCAAGGATATTATTTCTGCTGTCAGTTCAATGGATATTAAGCCGCTCTAATGACACCGGACACTGGTGTGGAGGGCAGGATGCGACAACCACACTGGGATGCAGTAAGGCCAAGCCCAGCCACTGCTTCCAGACCTGAAGCTAAGCCCCTAATGGCTGCTATATTTGGATCAGTGGCGTTTATG